CGGGGAGGACCCCTAAAGTAGTGATTTTTAAAGATTCCTTTAAACATAAGACTACTTGTCAATGTGCTATATAGCACAGCTACCACCTAAGCATGTTTTTTAATAACACTTAAAAATTTGTGCTTATGAATAACAACTGGAGATTTTGCCAATGTTCAACTTTACTGTAGAAATGAATGGCCTATATATGGAAAAGTTTTAATCTAATTTTCCTGGAAAATGGTTCAAAAGGCACGTAGTAGACATGAATATATTATACTTTTTGCTAAGATAAGTGATTCTTAATTCTATCTGTATATATTTCAAAAAACATACCTGAACTTAAATCATTTTCTAGGTGGATTTAAGAAGCATGTTTTAGCAAAGTAATGATCCTTGTTTGCAGAGATATGCTTTAGAAGTTATAAGAAGATACTTAATGAAAGAAAACTGAAAATGGCAGGGTGCTGGGAAGACCTGGTACTACTACATATACACATTTAAGTACTTAAACCAACTACTATCACCGAGTTGCTAGAATCAGATTTCATGCACATTCATTTCATCCTTAGCTTTCCCATTATAACAAAAGCTACCATTCCGAACCCACTGCTGTTCTTTAACACTGCTTCAGTGTACTTTCCTCTGAATATCTCCTGCACTTATCTTCTCATTGCTTTTATAAAGAAATACACTAAAAAATCAGAATTATTACTTCAGCCTCATGTGTAACAGAAAAAAATCAATTATGCTGCTAAAATAAAATCTATTGGTTTTATGAGTCAAATTAGTCTGCAACTAATTTTGAAGAATATCAGCTTCCCGGTGACACATCCTTTTTCAACTACAAAGAAACAGGGTCACCTTTTAATATGTATGTTTATGTGGAAGTTCTGTGAAGTGTTAGCCCCTTGTCATCTTACCATGAACACTTCCTAATGAAATATCCCCAGCAGCAGAAGACAGAAATGATGAATCTGTATATAGGTACTTGGCTTTCAGCAAACCATCTTCAGTAGATATATTAACAGAACTTCCCTGCAGTTTATCTACCGTCACAGTCTAGTAAAAGAAAGATTCAAATCAGTTCTTTATAAAAGAAAATCTAGTAAAAATCCAAAACGGTTTGGCTCCCTACAGAATTGGTAAGTGACGACGTAAAAAGTTACTACCCAGCACACACACTATGGACTTTGATTCCCTAGCTAATCAAAATATTATGTGCAAGAGTGTATTGTCTGTTGAGTGTAGAATGTTCCCAAAATAGTACTTCAATTATTCAGATCAATTTTAATTTCTCTTTATGCCTCATATTTTCTATGTAAACCTTTTTGTTAAATTTTCTCCATTTTTGCATTTTCTGGCATTACAGAAGATACCTTTCTACATGCATAACTATATTGTCTAACAGTTTAATTTCTTCCCTTCCAATCTTTACATTAATTCTTTATTTCCTGTTTTTTCTTCCCTTACGATCTGACTCAAGTATTCCAATTCAATAGTGAACAGGGGGAAAGCATACAATGTTTCCTCACTGAGTATGATGTCTGCTACAGATACCATATAGATCCCTTTTTATCAGAGTTAAGAGGTTCCCTGTTTTCAAATTTGCTTTGTTGTTACTGCTGTTTAAATCATGAAAATTCATCAAAATCATAAAAATTGTCAAAATTCATGTAAAATCATAAATTTTAGTTTTATCTGATTTTAATGAACTGTAACATAATTTTTTTCCTTTACATTTCAACAATCTATTTTCAGAGGTTTTCCCTAGTAAGTCAGTGGTTCTCCATTGAACAAAATGCAAGGAATTTTACATTTTTCCCTCAACTTCTGTAATAAATTTAATATGTATTTATGTATCAAATTTTGAGCCTGGGCCTTCCCTGCTGGCCCAACAGGTTAAAGCACAGCACTATGAGGCAAACCTGCAGCCACTGCAGAGTTCGATTCCCCACCAGGGAGCTGACCCACATGGCGTGGCAGATCTCTCCTGACCCACCAGGTGCTCCCCTGAGCAGTATATTTCAGTCAATCATCCTGTTCTGCTCCCCACTCTGTCTTGGTGAATCTTCTCACACCCCCACTCTTCTCCCCCCCCCCCCCCCGCTCTGGCCTGTACCCAAGTTTTTGCATGCGTAAATAAATAAATCTTTAAAAAAAATTTTTTTTGAGTCCGATGTAAAATGACGGTATCTAGCTAAGAAGTTCAAAAACAAGTCATTTGCGAGCATAAACATAACGGTTGACCTAAAAACTGCCACAGTTTGTGTCAGGATCACATTCAAGTATTACAACACTGGGTGTTTAAAAAAAAGACTATCATTGTTCTCAACATATAGGATCAGTGTAATCCACTTCAACTATATCCTTCAAAAATTGTTAAGTCAAAAATGTTATTTAGTAAGAACAGAGTTCCAAGAACACTAAAATATTAGAAATGAGAATATAAAGAGAGAAAGAAAAGTACATGGAGGTTCCAATGGGAAGACATTATATTGTTTTGACAGACTCGAATGTGTCATTTTCTTTTATGATAGACTTTTGTTAAGTAAATAATATAGACCAAGTTCTCCATCACAGTTTCTTTCTTTTTTTTTTTTTTT